TAATTCTGGTCATTGTCGTTAAGGTCAGGCTAGAATTAGAGTTAAGGTTAGTGTAATTTATAAAAAAACTTGTCGGTAAATGAACTTGTCGATGAATTAATTGTCGGTGAAATGAACTTGTCGGTGAATTAATTGTAGGTGAACTAAGATGTCGGTGAAGTGATTGTCGGTGAAATGATGCGTACCCTATAAGGGTGATTTAAATGGATTGATATTAGCGAGGGTCAAGTGTATCAACAATTATATTAACAAAACAATTTCTTATTTCTACTGACTTTCGATTACATTTGACACTATTTAATGGTCATATTTTAAGAACGGCTGATTCGTCTTCGACCATCTTAGAGTTAAACGAATCCTATATATTCAATTTACAAATTTATGACATTAATAATTATTTGCGGTTCCTTTTGCGGCTACTTTTTTTCACCAAATTCAGTAAAAAATATATAACGATAATTTTTACGAATTTTAAAATGTTTATTTAAAGAATCTTAATTTACTACTTTTACATGTTTGGTCTCAAAATTCTACAATATGTTTTTGTAAGTGAAAAGATGAAAAGCTTATAATTTTTACCATAAACCAATAGGAATTATACGTCAAATAAGTAAATTAAATCTACTGTATATCAAGCCACTTTAATATTTAATTATTATTATTAAAATATTTTTTTAACTAAAATTTGATTATTTAGAAAATCATATATTACGAAAAAATATAAAAATAAATTTCTTTTAGATCCATAGGTCGAATTTTTCTCTTTTTCAAAGTTTTCTAAAAATTAAACGTTACATAATACAATTACAAAGTTACGATGTCTTTTTTTATAAATATTATATAAACATTTATTTCAAATCCATTATTTTTTAATATATTCGGGGTTTTCAATATTAAAATATTGAATTGTAAGATTTTTCAATATAAAACGTTGCTTCGTAACTTCTCTCATAGAGACTTAATATCAAAATTTTATAACTTTTGAATTACAGCACGGTTAGAGCTGGACATCTATTTTTTGCCATATATTTGACAATGACTATATACAGTACAAGTATCGATTTTGGCTTACCACAATTTAAAATCTTTGACGTGGTAATTAAATTGTTACACGAAAAAAATTATAACAAATAATTTTGATTTACTTAGTTGACGTAGCACTCCAATGAACCAAACCAACACTCATATATAAATGTGAGCTAATTTCGTATGGACTGATTTTTCGATTTATGCAAATCATACCTGATCTGCATAGAAAAATAATTGCTATTTATAAAAAAACAATAAAAAAGATGAGTTTGTAAATATATTCCACATAACTATAAGAATATACGTATTTAATTTGTTTAGATAAAGATTATTGATAAAATTTTTGAGATTAGGCGTGGCAAACTATAAATAGTTTGGGATTTGGGCGGCAAATATAAGCCCATACGTTTGCTTGGGCAAAATTTTTTACACAAGTGAAATATTTCGGACTTTTAAATACAATATACCTGTCGGCTGAACTGAAATTATTTTGTTCCGGCGAGATTATTTCTTTTTGGAAAAAATTTCGGATTTTAAAAAGTAGTTTAACCGAAACACTAATTTCCTAATTAGGCCGCTTGAAGTTGAAACTTCGTTTAACGTTATCCCCCCTCCATCTTCCGGGTTCCCCCAAAAATTAAACAAATAGAAATGAAAATTTGATCGCCAGCATAGCAGTCGGGCTTTTTCGGTTTACGTCCGGGATTTCTCGATATACTATGTTTAATTTTTATGTTTGTTTAATTTTCATCCCTCCCCCCCTTTATAAATACGAAAAAAAATAACGTTAAACGAGGTTTTAATTTCAAGTCGCCTTAGTTAGGTTTCTAAACCAATTTTATTCAAATTTTAAAATTAATTTAGGATTAAGGTTATGCTTGAATAAAATGAAAGGTTTTTTAGGACACTAAACTTTATTGATTGGTACACAACCACAAATTACTAAAGCCGGCTTTTGAGAACCAACGAACGATACCAGGTGAATTTTACCTCTGTAAGCGCCAAATTCTTTTTATTAAATATTAAAAAAAAAATTATTATTTAAAAATTTAAAACCATGTATATTTTATACAGTTATTATATTTGAGAAATTAATATAATTGTTCAAACAAATTTATTTTTAATTGTTCAAATAGATTAATTCAAATAAACTATGTAATATCACCAGATCGCAAAGAAATTACGTACATACTTATGTGCGTAGTTTATGACAAATAAATTAATCATTTTTATGAGTTGGTTTGTATAATGATCAAATAATTCGTCATTGTCATTGTTTTACAGCAATAAATAATGATCAAAAAATAAATCAATTTACTTATTTATATTTTTCCTTTTCCGTCATCGTTGAAGATTTGTAAGAATATAAATATTTTCAAATCTTTTTTAGACGGAAATCAATACATTCTTTGTGATATTAACATTTCAATAATTATATTGTAATCTTATATTTAACCAGATTATTTTAGATCTCAATATGTTATTCCTTGACTGGTTAACAACAATCTTTAAAGAACCCATATCAATTATATATCATCACATTATATGGCTAATTTTATGTGTTCAACGTCCACTCGCAATCACTATAGAAGGCGCTACAGGTGAAGATACGTATATGATATTACCACCAACTCCACATCATGAGGCGAAAACTTACGTTGGAATGTTAGTTGCGTTCCTCATGGATAATTGTATGGAATATATAGGTAGTTTGGTAGGTCAATATATATATTTTGGACCTCCTGTGACAGTACAACCGAACGATAGATTGATTCAAAAGGACAAGCGGGACAAATCAGACAAGCCAATTTATGAGCAAGAACGTAATAAAGAGAAAACTCAACCAAAAGTTGATATTGGAAATAAGGATGATGAAAGAAATGGATTTAATAACATTAGAAATTATGATATAATTAAACAAGATCTTGAGGCAAATATCGATTCTACAAAGACGCTTGAACAAAAGAATATTCAGGAGAAGAATGTCGGCCAAGAGGATAAAGAGGAACAAGAGGAGCAAGAAGAACAAGAGGAACCAGAGGAGCAAGAAGAACAAGAGGAACCAGAGGAGCAAGAAGAAATAAGTTTGGATGACAGTGGAATTGATATTGGAGAATATGCACCTGAATCGGCTGAGGAAAATAAAAAAGATCAAGACATAGATTTTGAAGAATCTCAACCTGAAGAAAATCAGCTTGTTGCGAATGAAGAAAATGATAATGAATTTTTGCTTGAAACAATCGATAAAGACTCAGAAGTTGGTGAAACAATTGAAGGAAGTACCGAATATTTTAACGACAAAGAATTACATCATTCAAGTGACACACTAGGATCACCTAAGAGTGATACAGATGATAGTATAGATAATTCACCCGCTTTTGAGCCTCGCATATCCAACGATCGGATCTTTCCGGTTGAAGGTAATATATGTGAATTTTTCAATCTCAATTGTAATCCTGGGTTTGTTCAGCATTTTGAGTTTGATGTTCAGACATTCAATTCACACACATTACGGCGAAAGAAATACGCATGGTTCAAAGCGATTTAATAATTGATGATGGTCGTGAAGAAGAGACTAGTGATAATGGAATGGAATATCGTGAATATGTCGATCCTAATATTAGTAATATCATCATTAGATAATAACCAATTTTTTCATTTATTCGATGAGAAATAAATCAATGCTCGCATAGAATTTGCTATTAAGGTTAGTAAAAATTAATAGTGTGATGAATTAAGTTTGTAAGAATTACGAAATGTTTTTGCCAAAAAAAAAATTTATTATATTATTAATAATAAGTAAACAAAACACAATATCGATATTGTAAATATCGATATTTGTATAATATGCAAATATCGATATTTGTATAATATGCAAATAGCCACATTATTCAATTACATAAGCACCTACATTCTTCAGCCAATGCAAATGCTGACAATGTGTTTCAAATTAACTTTTTAAATTATTTGTTGCCACGCAGAATTTTGAAACTTATTTCCCCGTCATACGTACGTACGTACGTACGTACGGTTCCACCGTCCGATCGGCGTAACATTACCATGAAACCTCGTGTGACATCGCTTTGCTTGACATCTCAAAATTCCTTATATCAAATATAGGCCATCAATTAATGAAAAGTTCATCTCCGCTTCCGGCGCATAAAAAACTTATGGTACATTAGCTTCGTTTTTTATAAAAAGAACATAAGTTGTTACTACATTTATTAGATATTTGTTATTATACTTAAATATTTGAGTATACTTACTATTAAATAATTGAATTGTTACTATACTTGCTATTAAATATTTGAGTTGCTACTACATTTACCATCAAATCTTCGTTGGGTGCCGAAAATTTATTCTTTATTACGTGAAAATACAATATGCAGGGATTTAATCTCTTTATATCTTTCTTTTTTTTTTAAAAAAAAAAAACAAATCTCGCATTAGAAAGTTATTGTAAATTTAGAATAAATGTTGCACAACAATTATAGGCCAATCTTTTTTACAATACAGGAATAAGTTTCAAAAACTAAAAATCTTGGCATTCGATCGAATAATAAATAAATACATATATTCAACTATAAGTGTTTCGATTCTTTGTTTTAAATCGATTTTGTCTGATATTTATGTATGTACGTACGTACATATTCTATAACGGATAATAAATGTTTCTTGAAAACCATTTGTAATTATGTAGTTCTGCAGAAATATGCATGGAGGTATCCGGTTGAACTCTTTTGATTTAGCAACTCGAGCCTTTTGCATCATTAAAAAAAAATCCGATTTGATCGACGATAAAAATTTAATTTTTTTTTGTTTTCTAAATATATTAACATTGAATTTAATATGACACATTTTGAAGTATGTACAAGTACGAACCAATTTATGTTAGTCACGTGAATATATGCTAACGATTTCTCCTTGATACTTGCGTTTCAAAGATTTTTTATAATAATATACATTATTTACATTATCCATTCATTTACAAATACAAGACCTTTAATTGATTTCTTATAAATAAGATCATTTATCATCCTAAACAATATTGAAACTTCGACAGGTTCGTAGTATCCATTTTTAACATTAACTAAAGCATTGACCATTCCAATATTTACATAATTTATAAAAAAGAAAAATCGCATCTAATATGAAATACATTAGTTTTATATTATTTTCTTCCACGATTCTTTATATGCTAGTATCGAATGCTACATCACAACTCCCTGGAAATTGGCCAACAGCTGATGTTCCTCCTCAACCAAATCCAAACTTTACAAAGCTAGTAGATTTAACCAAGGTTTCAAAAGCACCCGTTAATCTAGCAACTCCTAATTGTGCTGCTAACCCTAATGATACTTTTTGTTATTGGTCTTGCACCGGATGTGTTCGTAATAAAACAGATGTAGTAAGATGTCCTAACAAATTAGGTAACTATTAAAATAATACGTTGATTCTCATTTTCCCGAAACCCACTTTCCCGAAAACTATTTCCCCGTCATCACATAGGGTTAGGGTTAACATTTTGTTAGTTGTAGATATATATTTTTAGCAAATTGTCACCTGTGTGATATTGGGTAAGTGACATGTCGGGGAAATAGCTTGCGGGAAATCGTACCGTGACCAAAATAATGATGTGAACTTTCAACATATTGTTAATTATTAATGATATCTTTTTGTTTTTAGATTGGGGACTTAGTTTCGATGATGGCCCAACGTAAGTTCATGCAATTATTTATTTAATAACATTTAAGTTATTCACAAACATTTATTCCTTTAATAATAATATTATTATTATTATCTCTAGTACTTTTACAGACACACTCCTCGATTACCTAGACACACAAAATATAAAAGTTACCTTTTTTGTTATCGGTTCTCGAGTAATTCAAAATCCTGCTATCTTGCAGAAAGCTTTTAAAGCTGGTAAGTCATTATTATAACTATTCAATTTATACATAAAGATAATTTGTTTAAAAAAATTTTTTAAATGAAATAAATAGGACATCAAATTGGTATACACACTTGGTCACATCCTCAACTTACAACTCAAAGTTCTGAACAAATGATTGCCGAATTGAAATATACTGAAACAGCAATTAAAGCGGCTATTAACGTCACTCCTAAATATATGCGCCCACCATTCGGCGATTATGATGATCGAGTTCGTGATATTTCAACTCAACTCGGTTATAAACCAACAATTTGGGATTTAGACACTTTCGATTGGATGTCTCAGAGTAATAAAGACTTTCAACTTACTTGGATAGAAGGTAACTTCACTCAATGGACAACTGATCCAAAACTTGCCAATACTGGTCATATCTCTCTTGAACACGACTTATATAATCAAACTGCCGCCCGAGTTCCTCTAGTCGTACCAATTCTTAAAAAAGCCAATTATAATATTAAACCTATTGCTGCTTGCCTGGGTGATAACCAACCTTATGTAGAAAATGTTGTTCTGGATGCGCCTAACTCTGCTACTTCAACACCTGCACCTTCACCTTCGAGTACAAAAAATGCTGCCTCATCTAATAAAGCTAGTAGTACTTCAAAAGCTAGTAGTACTTCATCAGCTACATCTGATGCTACCAAGATGTTCAATAGTAGTCTTTGGTCAATTAGTTTGGTGATAGTATTATTCGGATTAAAGGATCTATTATATCTCTAAAAATTCAAAATATAAATTGAACATTAGATATATATGTACATTAACATTTTTTTTGTTGCAATTTCCATGTAATAATAATTATTTAGTAACAATTCTACAAGATTTTATTAGTACTATAGATACTATAATTAACGGGTTGTAGAATTGTAGAATTGTAGAATCATAAGTACGTACGTACGAATGTACGTAGGAATGTACTTTATGTTTAGTATTGTAATTGAATAGATTGGGATAAAGGTGTGTGTATAGTACGTGACAATAATAAATGTCGGGGATGATGCTGAAATCGGATGATGCTGAAATTTTGACTTATTTTATTATGAAAATGTAAA